ATTAAATGCCCCACAACAACATGAACATTTGTCCTAAATGTCATAGCCTTGTTGTTAATTGAAGGACACAATAAATCTGCTGGGAGAAATCCTTCTTAATGCAGGAGATGCAACAGCTTTCAAAGGGAATTTATTTAGACTCAGTTTCTGTAACACACCTGCTGTAAATGACCTTTACATGAATAAAGTCTATGTGCTTGTATAGTCCCGTCCAAATGATGTCAGCAGAATAACGAGCAGCACCAAAACTCAAGCAGGTATAAAACTCAGTACGACGACTCACCAGGTGCTGCAGTCTCCATCATGTGACTGTCACATCAGAATTAATATCCTGAAGACCTACTGCCGGCTTCAACAGCCTGAAAGAACAGAAGAAAAAGTCCATCTATTTATCTCACTCATCTACATGCAGACCTTATCATCTGAAATGCAGGTGCTGGTCATATAATTAGGATATCATGGAAAGTTTATTTATTTCAGTAATTCCATTCAAAAAGTGAAACTTGTATATTATATTCATTCATTGCACACAGACTGATATATTTCAAATGTTTATGTCTCTTAATTTTGATGATAATACTTTAACACTAATGAAAATCCCAAATTCAGTATCTCAGAAAATTAGAATTTTACTTAAGACCGATACAAAAAAGGATTTCTAGAAATGTTGGCCAACTGAAAAGTATGAACATGAAAAGTATGAGCATGTACAGCGTTCAGTACTTAGTTGGGGCTCCTTTTGCCTGAATTACTGCAGCAATGTGGCGTGGCATGGAGTCGATCAGTCTGTGGCACTGCTCAGGTGTTATGAGAGCCCAGGTAGCTTGAATAGTGGCCTTCAGCTCTTCTGCATTGTTGGGTCTGGCGTATTGCATCTTCCTCTTCACAATACCCCATAGATTTTCTATGGGGTTAAGGTCAGGCGAGTTTGCTGGCCAATTAAGAACAGGGATACCATGGTCCTTAAACCAGGTACTGGTAGCTTTGGCACTGTGTGCAGGTGCCAAGTCCTGTTGGACAATGAAATCTGCATCTCCATGAAGTTGGTCATCAGCAGGAAGCATGAAGTACTCTAAAGCTTCCTGGTAGACAGCTGCGTTGACCTTGAACCTAAGAAAACGCAGTGGACCAACACCAGCAGATGACATGGCATCCCAAACCATCACTGACTGTGGAAACTTTACACTCGACCTCAAGTAACGTGGATTCTGTGCCTCTCCTCTCTTCCTCCAGACTCTGGGACTTTGATTTCCAAAGGACATGCAACATTTACGTTCATCAGAGAACATAACTTTGGACCTCTCAGCAGCAGTCCAGTCCTTTTTGTCTTCAGCCCATGCGACACGCTTCTGACGCTGTCTCTTGTTCAAGAGTGACTTGACACAAGGATGCGACAGCTGAAACCCGGTCCTGCATACGTCTGTGCGTGGTGGTTCTGGAAGCACTGACTCCAGCTGCAGTCCACTCTTTGTGAATCTCCCCCACATTTTTGAATGGGTTTTGTTTCACAATCCTCTCCAGGGTGCGGTTATCCTTATTGCTTGTACACTTTTCTCTGCCACATCTTTTCCTTCCCTTCTCCTCTCTATTGATGTGCTTGGACACAGAGCTCTGTGAACAGCCAGCCTCTTTAGCAATGATCTTTTGTGTCTTGCCCTCCTTGTGCAAGGTGTCAATGGTCGTCTTTTGGACAACTGTCAGGTCAGCAGTCTTCCCCATGACTGTGTGGCCTACAGAACTAGACTGAGGGACCATTTAAAGGCCTTTGCAGGTGTTTTTAGTTAATTAGCTGATTAGAGTGTGGCAAAAGGCGTCGTCAATATTGAACCTTTCCACAATATTCTAATTTTCTGAGGTCGTGAATTTGGGATTTTCATTAGTATTCAGGTATAATCATCAAACTTAAGAGAAATAAGCATTTGAAAGATATCAGTCTGTGTGTTATGAATGAATATAATATACAAGTTTCCCTTTTTGAATGGAATTACTGAAATAAATAAACTTTTTCATGATATTCTAATTATATGACCAGCACCTGTATACGTTTCATGAAGGTGAAAATAAATGAACAACTTCCTGGTGTTAACCTTAACAATAAAATAAAATCATGTACATTTATAGTGGTCACTGACCCAAACAAAAGAAACTAAAGAGGACAGAAGATTAAATCATGTGCTGAATCAGCAGGGATGATATTTGATCAGAAATTTGATGCAAAGCAGTTTAATATTTGCAAAAAACACAGGATGTCTGAGAGCCTGCCTGCAATAACTTCCATCATATTTTGAATTGTCACCTGGTGAATTGAATGTTTTCTTTTATATTGATAAAGACAGAAATAGATGCAGGAACAGAACAAACTGGTGCATTGAAGTGAACTTGCTGCAGGATGTTGTGTCTCCCCATGATGGCAGTGATGAGCCCAACTAGGTCAAAGTTCTGCAGCAGAAATAAAACTTACAATAATTCTGAAATAAAACTTTAGTGCATGAAAAAGTCTCAGTGAGCAAAACTAACAGCAAAAGTAACCAAGGAAGCGCAGGACTTTGATAAAAACATGTGACAGTCAGAAAACAGAAGGTGGAGCTGACAGCCAGCATCAGTGTGTGAGGAAATAAAAGTCCAGGCCTTCCAGGATCACACAGGCCTCCTCAGCCTCTAGATAATAAATAGAATCAACACGAAGCCCAGACTTTAGTCCTGACATAAAAACTGCTCCTACGTTTGTGAGAGTCGCCCAGAAACGAGCAGAACTCAGAATCTGTGGAGTTAAAGAGTCTGAACATCATCGCTTCTATCACTTTATTCCGCTAATAAGCCGCTCCAATGATCAGAATCAGTGACAGCCGATACTCACCCATCGATCCGGATCGATCCGTGTCTGCTGGAACCTGCTGCAGATTCACTTCTGTTGGTTTTACAGGTTTTAGTTCTGCAGATAAACTTTCTGCTGCGAGTCGATCACAGCTCAAAGTGAAAATAAAAAGAGTGAGGAGCGACTGAAACCCGAGAGTGTCCTAAATAAACAGCTGCTGGATGTGTGTTTTATTTTTAGTGTTGTAGAGACTTAATCTGGATGTGCAGTAGCAGTCATAAGTTTGGACACACCTTCACCGTCAATGGATTTCATTTATTTTGATCAATTTCAACATTGCAGATTCATACTGAAGACATCAAACTATGAAAGAACACGTGGGATTATGTTGTAGACGTGGAACTGAAGAGTTGAACTGAGCTGGATTTGATTTGATTTTGTCTGTCTGATGCTCGTAGTGGGACTACAGCTGCTATGATTAATCCAGCAACTGATGAATTAAAATAATCAACTGTTAAAGTGTTAGACACCTATTTTGACAATGATTAATCTGTATAAATATTTTCTTTTTCAAAAAATAAAAAATAAAGCAACCAAATTCTGTGATTTATAGCTTCTTAGTTAATCCAGAAAATGATAACTTTAAACTTGTGTTCATAACACTTTAAAAAATCCTTTAAATAATGTTAAAGTATGAGTTGGAGCAACTTTATAGCAGTTTGTTGGTTGACCATCGGACATAATTCATTCTTAGTTGTCATAACTCAGGAGGATTGATGCAAACTGTTGCACATTTCTGACTTGTTGAGCCCAAACATTATTTTGTAATGCTGTTTACTTTTATTTGCTTACTTCAGAGCTCTGTTGTCTGCTGTCACACAGTTTTATCACATCTTATTTATCCTGCAGCTGTAAACACTACTAATGCTGGTATCATGTCTGGCCTAAATGTGTGGCCAAGTCAGGTTTGGTCAGGAGATGAGACAACCAGCAGCCCCGAGTCAGTCAGTGTGAATGCTCTGTTGAGTAGTAATCCCTCAGTGGTGTCTTGTTCATTTGTTCAGGGGGGAAAAAAGGAAATTATAAAGACAGTAGGAAAAGTTTTGAGAACAACAATTTCAGCATTGACAACATTTTCAAAATACTTGCTAATTATTTTTATTTTTTGTTTCAAATGAAATCATTTCCTGTAAGTGAATATAAAAACAAGAAACATACAGAAACTGTGTCTCAGCAGTTTTATTAGATATAAAATTGTGGGGGCGTCTGTGGCTCCGGTGGTAGAGCAAGTCGGTCAGGTTGGCGGTTCGATTCCGCCCTGTAACAACCTGTGTCATGGTCGTTGTGTCCTTGGGCAAGACACTTCACCACCTGCCTGGTGTGAATGCGTATGAATGGATTGTTTGAGGTGGTGGTCAGAGGGCAGAATGGCAGCCAGGCCTCTGTCAGTCTGCCCCAGGGCAGCTGTGGCTCCAACCGCAGCTACCACCACCAGGATAAATGTGTGTGAATGAATAATTGACAGTGTAAAGCTTCTTGGAGTGCCTAGAAAAGCGCTATATAAATCTGATTTATTTTTGCTTTTGTTATTATTATTATGGTGGTAGCATGTGCTGTAATATACACAGTATGGTTCTACCTGAACAGAAAATTACCTGTTGGTTCATTCAAGTAAGCTAAATAAATAAATAGGCGTAAGTTTTAAGAATTGTTGATCCGTGCCGGTGAATCCCTGCAACAGGGCCACTGGTCCAGCTCTCTGTTTCTAGGGTTAGGTTCTAGCTGCCTCCACGTTCTCACCTTAATAGGTTCTGTAGAACAACTTGAGCTGATGTGGAGGAAAGTCGCCTTGCTTCTGACTGCCTTCATCCAAACGCCTATCCTGCGTCTTCTGGTAGTTGAGCCAACGAAGTAGCCTCTAACCTCCTCTAAGCAGAGCCAGAGGAGGAGGCCCTGACACGTTTGTTAACAGCAGCTTTCCTCCCAATGGATCAGGCTCTTGGTCATGGTTCGGTTAAAATTTAGAGGTTGGGAAATAAACCACAGGGATATGTTTAGAAATGCTGTTTTACTCTTGACTAAGATAACCCTTCAAAAACCATTTAAAAGATCTCATGCACACATTGTCTAACTTTTTACTACCATCAGACACTATGAGTGACTCAGTAAAATTCCAAACAAGTGATTTTCAAATTCAAGATTATTAAATCTTTATTGCAAAACATTAGCAAGGGCAAAGTAACAGCTCTTATTCATTTGTTCAAACATGATTAAAATGGATTATTTCAGATAAAAATGATAAAAATGAGCTTTTCTAAAGTAGATGTCTAATAAGTTCTTTAGGGAGGGAGGGAGCCAGACAGCTTGGCCTGAGCCGACCAACTCTGCCTGATGTTGACCTTCTTCCGAGGGTTGGAAACTCCATACAGAGTCCCAGTCCTCAGCAATAGTCCTCCTCAATAAGGGGGAGATGAGAAGTCCCGACTCCAATTAGCTCTGCAGTTATTTTGCATTAAGCTGGGGAAGGAAGACAAGATTTCTTCAAGCAGAACACAGAAAGGGGTTCTGCTGCTCCTCTTGAGTTGAATTGTAGACCCATCAGGACTTCTCCAATTGTGTTAAAGAGTGTTAAAAAGTCCAACGATGTCCAGTGAAGAACTCCACCATCATTCTCTGACATGAGCATTCTCCACCAACGATCTCCGTCTAAAGTCTCTTTGTCATGTCTTTTTGGACTGTTGACTCTCCCATAGACACTCATGAGTTACACACATCTGTCCCCCTCCACACACTTATTTCTAACACACACTTTATCTTTAGCACACACACACAGGATTTATTCATTAAGTTGACTCATTCTGAGCTCAGCATTCGATCACCAGCAGTTAATCCTCATTTGGTAAAAACAGAAAAGCACACTTTGGTAAAAACAGGAACTGCCGGCTGCTCAGACAGTGACCTCTCTTTGAGGACAAAGACCTCTTAACATGTTCAGACGTGTCCTGTTCACCACTTCTTAACTATGCAGCTATAATTCAACAGTTACAAGAAATCACTACAGAGTTAAAATAATCATTTCAAATTGAAACACTCAGTCACCAGATTGCAGCATTTCTATTTACAGAGTCTTCTAAGTTGTGTAAGCAGTGCCAGTGTCTCTTCTTGCTGGCTGCTTCTGGGATCTCAGTTCTTGACCTCACTTGACAGAAGTCACAGAGAGGTACATCAAAAGAAAGATGTCCACATTAAAAACAATGCCGCCAAAATCATGTCTGTTAATATAATGTTCTACTTTGAAATTTCAAAAACCAATAATCTGTTATTTTCCATACAATCAGTACAAAGGGGATTTTCACTCTGCATCATTATTTTTTATGTCAGAATAAAAAACAAACCCAATCCCACTTCTTAAAAACACAAAGTCCTCGTTTTCAAACACTGTAAAGATGTTCTATATTAACACTCTCAAAGGCAAATTGTTGTCATGCACATCCTTCCTGATCTCAACTCCCTAAATTCATTCATTTACAGGATTTTAAACCTTTCAATGCAGCTTACATGATGCCCTGTTGTTGTTTTGTTTTGTTGTTATTTTGTTTAGTTGTTTTTTAAGAAGAATAAGAAAAGACAAACAATTTAGTATTTTTCATACAATAAGTATTAGGTGTCATTTTAAAAAGTGTTGCTCTGGATTGTATCTGTTTCTCTGCATTACGGTTTATAACTGGTGATAGTTGTGATGGTCATCGCTGAGGCTGGGTGGTCCTCCCTCCCTGTAAACCTGACAGACTCTGGGTTTCATTTATCATAATTGTGAGTTATTGTTAATAATGGGACACAACACAAACAATAGTAATCAATCAGAATCAGTGTTGGTGCTGATCACTGAATTTTCTGTGTTGGATTATGACAGCATTTTGTACCTGCATGCATCAGCAGGGACTGTTCAGTCCTTGAACAAGATCATTAAGCAACAATGCAGCAGGAAACATGGTTTGTTCCTGCAGTTTGTTCTAGTTTAGTCACCAGTGTGAACATATGAAGTCAGAAATCAGCTTCTCATCAATCCAGATTCCCACATATACCAAAGTGACAACATGCTCTGCTAAAAAAAAAAAGGTTTATCGTTATTTGGTCACAATAAAAGTGTCAAACACAAAGAAAAACTCAGTTAAATGGGATATAGGTTGGTTGATTATGTTCTGATCTACACTGAGTGTCCACTTCATTAGATGCACCTGTTCAATCGAATGCAGCACAACAGTGTTCTGTCATTACATCTACTGCTGGGATGTCTGCTGAACAGTAGGAGGGATCATTAGGAGATGGTGCATTTACGGATTTGTATGACTTTCAAGTTAATGAACTTGTTCATTTCTTCTTCTTGTCTCTTTCTAAGTTCCTCTAATTGTTTGATTTGTGTCTGGTTTTTCTCCCTCTCCTCTTTTTGTTCTGTATCTTTTCTCTCTATTTTACCTTTGAGTTCCTGTTCTTTGTGACTTGACAGGTTCTCTAACAGTCGGTACTCTCTGCTGTGTTCTCCTTGTTGCTGTTGTATTTCTGCTTCATGCTGTTTCTTCAGATCCTGCAGTTCCTCATTGTGTTTTTCTATCAGAGCTTCAAAGTCTTTGCTGTATTTCTCTTTGAACTCATTGAACTCTTCAGCTTGTTTTCTTGCTTCTTCTTCATATTTCTTCTTCATGTCCTCCATGTTTTTCTTGTACTTTTCCTCTGATTCTTTTCTCTCTCTCTCCTCTTGTTGTCTTCTGATTTCATCTTGTTCTTTTCTTTGGTTTTCATATCTCTGTCTCTCTTGTTCGTATTGTTCTTGAAGCTTTCTCTGTTTTTTTTGTTCCTCCTGACGTCTCTGTTCATCCTCCTGACGTCTGTTTTTCCACCATTCTTCTTGTTTCTTCTCCCAGATTTTTTGTTTTTTTTTCATCTCTTGTCTACTCTCCTCCAGTTTTCTGTCAATGGTCTCCTTTTCCTGTGATTCTGACTTGATTTTTTTCTCCAAATCTTCTCGTTCTTGTTCCCATTGTTGTCTCTGACGTTCTTCCTGCTCTTTCCTTTTCTTCTCTTCATCTTCTCGGTTTTTCTGTTCTTTCTTTCTCTCATCACGCCCCTTCTTAATGTTTTCCTCCATTTCTTCTAGTAGTTTTGTTCTGAGTTTTCTCTCTTGTTCTGTCACTTTTCTCTCTTCTTCTATTCTTCTTTTCATTGCTTCCATTTCTTCCTCATGTTTTCTCATAAGCTCCTCCTCCTTCTTCTTCATCTCTTCTTCCTTGTCCTTCAGGATATTCTGCATTTCTTTCTGTATCGCTGCTTCAGCTTCTTGGAACATGTCGCTGGTGAAGCAGCTGCCTCCGTTTTCCTTTATCATTCTCTTGATCTTCTCCATCAGCTCTTTGACTTGTGTTCGATCCGTCTGANCTGTCAGTAGATGTGAACAAGTTAGATTTGCTGAGTTTGTGGGTTGCTGAGCAAAGACTTTGATGACGGCTTGCAGGCGGCATCACTACATAAGATGCAGCTCTGCAGACTGGAGCCTCCCTTTGACATGTCAGCATCGATATCTGGAGTTTTCACACTTGTGTGTTGAAATCTACGTTTTTGACAGTTTTGTACATGAATATTCTGATTACCGACACTTTTAATGAGTTAATATCAAAGTTAATGACACTTTTTACGTATATTTTCAGACTATTAATACTTCTGTGGATTGTTAACCAGATTATTGATGCTTTTATGCAAAAAGATGCATTTTGAAACATTTAGCTTTACGTTCTATTCACGCTGACAGTTTACAGACAAAAACTCCAACAGTCTGCATTGAAGCATAAAATGACACAAACGTAAATGTTGATTGACAGGATGTCATGAAATTAAATATTATCATAAAATATTATGTATATACTGTGGTGCAGTGGTTAGCACTGTTGCCTCGCAGCTAGAAGGTCGCTGGTTTGTGGGATCTTGGTGGATGTTTCATTGTCTTTGTTACTTCCTGGTGACTGATTGGAGCGTTCTTAGGCGATTGTACATCGGTTTTTGTATTTCTCTTTCATTTTCTTTAACTCTTGCTCCTGTGCTTTCTTCAAGGCCTCCATTTCTTCTTCTTTTTTTCTGACTTCTTCTTTCAGCTTTGTTTCTTTGTGACTTGCGAGCCTGCCCAGCAGCTTGTACTCTTGCTTGTGCTCCTCCTCGACCTCTTTAATTTCTCTGTCATGCTTTAGCGTCAGTGCCTTCTTTTCCTCTGTGTGCTCCTCCATCAGCCCTGCAAAGTTCTTCACATATTTCTTTCTGAATTCATTGATGTCTTCAGCTTGATTTCTTGCATCCTCTTCATACCTCTTCCTCATGTCGTGCGTTAGCTTTTCATATTTTTCTGCTAGTTCTTTCATTCCTTTCTCTCCTTCTTCTCTTAGCATTTGCTCTTTATTTTTAATTTCTGTTTCATATTTGTCTTTTTTCTGCTCATATTCCATTTCGTGCTTCTTGAGCATTGATTCGCGTTGCCTTCGTCTGTTTTCCTTTTTCCTTTCGTGGTTTTTCCAAGCAGTTTTTTGTTCCTTCTTCCTGTTTTCTTGCTCTTCTGTCATCTTTCTTCTGCTCTGCTCCAGTTCGGTTCTCTGTTTTTCGTCTGATGTAGAGCGGATTTTTTCCTGCAGATCTTGTAGCTTTGTTTCAAACTCCTGCTGTTGCCTTTCTTCCTCTTCCTTCTTCTGTTGATCTTCTTCTTCCCTCTTTTCTTCTTCTGTCTTCCTCCTCTCAATCTCATTGTTCATTTTTTCCTTCAGTTGCTCGAGTGTTTTCCTTCTTGATTCTCTCTCTTTCTCAATTTCTGCTTCTTCTTCTTCCATTCCTCTTTTCATTTCCTCCCTGTATCTTCTCTCCAGCTCCTCTCTCTCTCTCTTCATCTCTTCTTCCTTCTCCTTCAGGATTTTCTTCACTTCTTTCTGTATCGCTGCTTCAGCTTCTTGCAGCATCTCGTTGGTGAAGCAGCTTCCTCCATTTCCCTTCACCATGGTGTCGATCTTTGTTATCAGCTCACTGACTTGTGTTCGGTTTTGTTCGTCATAGTTATCAAGCACGTGGTATCTTCCTCCACAGTCAGAGATCAGACTCTTTAGAAATTCATCACATTCCTTTTCAAAGAATACTTCAGCAGACTTTGAGTGATGTTTCAGTGCATCTCCTCTTGTGAAAAGAATGATGGTGAACATGCTAGAATTTTTTCCAAACACTTTCTTGATTAAATTTAATGTCTCCTTCTCCTCTGGTGTGAATCTGCCGATCTGTAGCACCAGCAGGAAGACATGTGGTCCTGGAGACAGAAGACTGATGCATTTCACCATCTCTTCAGTAACTTCATCATTAGACAAGGTTGTGTCAAACAGTCCAGGAGTGTCGACCACGACAACAGGACGTCCGTCCACTTCACCTGCTTCTTTCTGACACTGTTTGGTGACTGAAGTTTGAAAACAGTCAGCCTTGAACTTTTTTACTCCCAGAATGGTGTTTCCTGAGGAGCTCTTCCCGTGGCCAGTCTTCCCAATCAGAACCATCCTGAGACTGTCTGAGCTCTGCTGCTCTTCATCAGCTGGGAAAGATGAAAATAAGTGAATGTCAGTGGTGACAGCTGCTAGTGGTTTAAGAATCTAGTGTAGATGATCGTTTATGGCACAGAGCCATATAGTTGTGGACTAAAGTTTACTTACACTTGTTAAGACCGCGTCTATCGTGGTGGTCTTGAGTTTCCAATGACTCCTATAACTCTAAATTTTCTATATTGGAATCATTGCAACGTGAATCTTTGTCACAAAATCAATCCTGTATTTTGCTTCTTTCATAGATTCATTAACGGTCTTCTGGATCATAAATATACATACAGCAACTTGAATCATCAGTTTTGGTGATGTAGAAACTTTTACTAATAATTTAATTTAGTATTAATCACATTTTCCTAATTTCATGGCCTCTTAACTCCTCCTG